CAGCATTGTGCTAGTATTGTCAGGTCATTGTCATTGCTGGTAGTGATGTATTGAGCTAGCATTATGATAGTATTGTCAGGTCATTGTCATTGCTGGTAGTGATGTATTAAGTTAGCATTGTGATAGTATTGTCAGGTCATTGTCATTGCTGGTAGTGATGTATTGAGTTAACATTATGATAGTGTTGTCAGGTCATTGTCATTGCTGGTAGTGATGTATTGAGTTAACATTATGATAGTATTGTCAGGTCATTGTCATTGCTGGTAGTGATGTATTGAGTTAGCATTATGATAGTATTGTCAGGTCATTGTCATTGCTGGTAGTGATGTATTGAGTTAACATTATGATAGTATTGTCAGGTCATTGTCATTGCTGGTAGTGATGTATTGAGTTAACATTATGATAGTATTGTCAGGTCATTGTCATTGCTGGTAGTGATGTATTGAGCTAGCATTATGATAGTATTGTCAGGTCATTGTCATTGCTGGTAGTGATGTATTGAGTTAGCATTATGATAGTATTGTCAGGTCATTGTCATTGCTGGTAGTGATGTATTGAGTTAGCATTATGATAGTATTGTCAGGTCATTGTCATTGCTGGTAGTGATGTATTGAGTTAGCATTATGATAGTATTGTCAGGTCATTGTCATTGCTGGTAGTGATGTATTAAGTTAGCATTGTGATAGTATTGTCAGGTCATTGTCATTGCTGGTAGTGATGTATTGAATTAGCATTATGATAGTATTGTCAGGTCATTGTCATTGCTGGTGGTGATGTATTGAGTTAGCATTATGATAGTATTGTCAGGTCATTGTCATTGCTGGTAGTGATGTATTAAGTTAGCATTGTGATAGTATTGTCAGGTCATTGTCATTGCTGGTGGTGATGTATTGAGTTAGCATTATGATAGTATTGTCAGGTCATTGTCATTGCTGGTAGTGATGTATTGAGTTAGCATTATGATAGTATTGTCAGGTCATTGTCATTGCTGGTAGTGATGTATTTAGGTAGCATTGTGATAGTATTGTCAGGTCATTGTCATTACCGGTAGTGATGTATTGAGTTAGCATTGTCACACTGTTCCACATGTGTACCTTCATACAGGTCAACATGTCAGTCTAAATGCTGCTGGTACACGACAATCAACAACAGCATTCCGCGTGACATTTGGTGATGGACAACCTACAGCCAATGTTACCAGTTACTTACCTGCATGTGTTGTGATCAGTGGATCAGGACCCTTCATTCGACTAGAGAAGACTGATGGTAGTCTAGTGTTGGCTGAGACAGGTGCCTTCTCAGGAGGTACTATTGTACAGGTGAACGCCACAGTACATCCTATACTGGACACTTCATACACTGGACTGTACCATTGCAGAACAGTGGATAACAACTCAACACAAACATATCAACTCAACATTGTAGGTAAGTTTGAAACCATTTCCTATTTTCTGTGCAATAATCTCTCAATAACTGACTGTGTACTGTACAGCATGGTTACTGGAGTAGAAAGGAGAATAAAATTAAGAAATGATTTATTAGCTGTGTGTCTCACTCGCAATATTACGTGTATGTACACATGTGTGTGTGTGTGTGTGTGTGTGTGTGTGTGTGTGTGTGTGTGTGTGTGTGTGTGTGTGTGTGTGTGTGTGTGTGTGTGTGTGTGTGTGTGTGTGTGTGTGTGTGTGTGTGTGTGTGTGTGTGTGTGTGTGTGTGCACCTGACTATTGCACATGTGTGTGTGTGTGTGTGTACACCTGACTATTGTACACATGTGTGTGTGTGTGTGTACACCTGACTATTGCACATGTGTGTGTGTGTACACCTGACTATTGCACATGTGTGTGTGTGTACACCTGACTATTGCACATGTGTGTGTGTGTACACCTGACTATTGCACATGCGTGATACAAAATAACACTACGTTCCTGCACAGTGAAACTTGAGTCTCCGGTAACCTTATCGATCCGACCAGTTTTTCTCGTCCTTTCATAGGCGCATCTAGAACCTGGTCTCCGACTATGTTGGAGTATTTATATTCCAAGGAACAATAGCCTAGTTTGGTAGAACTTGTGCATGACCTATATTCACATTTCGGCATGAATAATACGTGATTTCCGCTCATGGTTTATGCACACTCTGTGTTGCATGCTGGCTGTACGTCTGTCACTGCACCCCGTATGCTTTCCCCCACACCTTCCATACACGGACTCGTGTCCGGATGCTCTGATGTAGGGCGCTTGTTCACTTTCACATACTGCAGCTAATATGGGACTATATGGGACTAACTCGAACCAGGGACCTTTCTCGCGAACATCCCTGGTTCGAGTCCTGGTGGTGTGACTGAGGAGGTTTTTCTTTCTTTCGTATCTGATTAGCAAGTGTTGAGTTTCGGAGAGAAAAAGAGCAGTACGAGGAACCTGGTCTATTTTCCTAATACTTTGCAACTCTCCATCAAGTCCCAAATTTTGAAATTCCGATCATGGTTTATTTCTCAAGTCTTCACTCTATCCATTATTGCACACTGAAGACTTGCTACCACAAAACCTACAACCGGCTTGAATGTTCTCTTCTTTGTTTCCAGAACTTTGTCCAGATCTCATTTTTGCAAAACACAACTTCAAACCCATTACTGATTTTAGCAGGGCGATTGGTACGAACATATCAGTACAGTGTCAAACGGGGTTTCTTGCTAACACCAGTCTGGATGTGACCTATTCTACATGCCAGAGTGGCGGAGTATGGAACCCAAGACCACCAGCATGTGAAAGTAAGTCGGTACACTAGTTATTATTGGTGTTGAAACAAGCGTATCTTTAGCACGACGCTACCTGAACGCGCCCAAACGTCAACACCTGTAAAAATCGTATTTTCCCGTGAAAGTACTACCTGTTCAAGGATCGATAACTTTACCTTCCGTTGGACGAATTCCACGATCTTGAGCTTCGTGGAAAGGTCTTGAGCCGAGGAACAAACTGGTGGCAAACCCAGCTCGGAGCGAAACCAAAACCCCGTGCTACAGTCTGGCAAACTTCATCAACGTGCTCGACAGACTCGAGTACGGCCAAGACTAACCGGGGTCAAATATTCAGCTGCCATTTCGGTCTCCTTGCTCGTATCGAGCTCAAATGTTTTGTCAAGACTCACGGTATCTACCACCATCATTTGAATCCTGTTTCCATGGCAGCAAGTAGCGCAAAAATGATCCACAATGGAAAATACGCGTTCTGCAGACTGCACGAAAAAATCTAGTTGAAATTTGCCGTGTCGAGTCGCATATCTCAACAACCGGTAGTCGTAATGCATCGGCGATTGTTTCTATCGCTAACTGAGAGTTTTCACGTGCAGATACAGGTTTCGATTGTGAGAATCGACCAAGTAGTGGGTGAGTTACGATAGTTTGAATAAGTCGCTATGGACTCAACACGGACCCCACAACTATGAGATGCAGGTTCACTGTACAGTGTACAGCGCGCGTCGTACTAGTACGACGGCCGTGGGGCATGCAACTCATGTGCGTCGTACCAGTACGACGCTTGCGCTAAAGGGGTTAACAAACCAGTGAACAGTTCCACTAACGAGCAAGCTATCGAGAGAGCTAACGAGTTTCATTGATGTGGCAATATGATTTTTTACGTATTTTTTTCTAAGCTCGATTTCTTATTCAATTCAGCTGGTTCAAATAATTATCACTGCTGGTATTTGGGGTTGCTTCTGCTTCACTTCGGACTACTGTTTGGTGCCGAGATGTCGTTTCAGCGCAGTCGTTGAGCAGCCTTTGTAAGAATAGACCGTTTTGCAACGATCGCAAGTAGCCCTGTTCTTCGCTGCATCGCGCGAGAAAACTTCCAAATGACTGGGACTAACTTTCACTCGAATGGAAAGTTGACAGAAGCATGTCCTGCGACAGATCAGCAGATGCGGAACAAGACATCAGTGGAGGCCACCAAAGCTGCAACGACAACTGAAACACATTCGCGTTGTGCAGGCATACGGTCACTGTAACTGCGAGTGATTTTCTTTTTGCGTGGGACTGGACTCTTCGTACCAGGGAGTCGTAAAATATTTACGACTCCCCGGTCGATATATACCGCCATGTGTACGGAGTACGGTGTTCGTTAGTGCACATGAGCTGGCCGCACAAACGAACCGAGTTTCTGGCGAGCGAGCTAACGAGTACTCGGTGAGATCGTTTCCACACTACTAGTGATGAGGGTTTTTTCGGGGTTTTAAGAGTGTGAAGCAGTGAGTTATTTTTCCAGCTTTATCTGGGTCTGTCGAGTTGCCGAACGAGAACAGTTGGAAAGCGGTTTCAAATGGCCGTGAAGTTGTGCACCGGTCATTGGTGTCTCGAAGTGTTACTAACTGGTGATGGAGGTCACATTCTACTTGCTATGCTTATCTAAATATAGTGATCACTCTAGCACACAATTTCACGCTCACTATCCGTTTTTGCCGACAATGACGACTTGCGTAATAAAACTAACGTCTAAAATAGACCTAGTTCCAAGCAAACACACAAACATGCTGGTCTATAATAATACCGGTAAATGGCACACTTTTTGCACCCGTTCTCTTCTATTTCCATTCCAGGTTGCAGAGTTAGATGTTCCGATGACATCAATGTTGAATCCTGTAATCACGTGATGGGACAAGGCACTGTCAACTGTATTTGTAAACTAAACTATATATGGGCAGGGAGCAAGTGTGTGGGTAAGTGCCTTATGTGCTATGCATCACACAACTTCACATTGATGTGTTGTGAATTGTGCCATGGTTCATGCTTGGGTGAGACAGAGACAGGCGCTGAACACTAATGTCACTGGCAATGTTTGAGTGCACACTCCTGTATGGCAAAACCTATGTGTACTTCACATGGGGATCACTAGTAGCTGCAATCTAGGTTTTCACTTGCTTCTTTCCATCTCTGCCTTTCTGTGTGTAACGCATATGCTTGTGTGTCGGTATATATGTGCGTGTATTTTGCTGTGTTCTATTTAGTAGTCTCTCCTACCATTCCTGTTACCAGTGGTACGTTCTATTCTGTTTCTCCTTGCCTTGCACTTTCAGTGAGTGCATCAAGCACTGCAATGGGTTTTGAAAACACTGCATGACCACTGTGTTGCATCTACTGGTGCAGAAATGGCCATTAGAGCAGTGACAACAACTTTCTGCAACGTGTACTAGAAAGACTTGTGGCAGAATTGTTTCTAGCCGTGCAAAGATGTATGTGCAGTGGCGGATCCAGGGGGGGGGGGGGGGGGGGGCAGGGGGCATCCGGGACGGATACCTTGGGCCCCCTCTTCGGCCAAATCCTGGATCCGCCACTGATGTGTGTTTCATGGTAGGCTTGGTGTGTACTACGTATACGACTGGCCGTGCTAAGATGTATGTGTCTTTCTTGGGAGTCTCAGTGTGTGCTCTGTATACAACTAGTTTGTCTGTATCACACCACAGAACATGTTAGAAGTAATTAGTTGCTGCTCGACCCCTGGTACTGAATTCCTCGTTTTCGTTTATGTCCTTTTGTTACCCTAAATGCGCTGGTATCTATCTGTGTGTATTTTGCTGTGTTCTATTTAGTAGTCTCTCCTACAAGTCCTGTTACCAGTGGTACGTTCTATTCTGTTTCTCCTTGCCTTGTACTTTCAGTGAGTGCATCAAGCACTGCAATGGGTTTTGAAAACACTGTATGATAGTGTTGAAACGATCTCACCGGATACTCGTTAGCTCGCTCGCCAGAAACTCGGCTCGTTTGTGCGGCCAGCTCGTTTGCACTAACGAACACCGCACACCGTACTCCGTACACATGACAGTACATGTTGACTGGGGAGTCGTAAAATATTTTCCAACTCCCTGGTCGATCGAGAGTCCAGTCCCGCGCAAAGTGAAAATCACTCGCAGTTGCGTTGACTGTATGTCTGCACGACACTTGAGTTGTTTCAGTTGCCGTTGCAGCTTTGGTGGACTCTACTGATGTCTTGTTCCGCATCTGCTGACCTGTCGCAGGATATGCTTCGGTCACCTCTCCATTCGAGTGAAAGTTACGCTCAGTCGTTTGGAAATTTTCTCCCGCTAAGCAGCGAAGACCAGGGCTCTTTGCAATCTTTGCAAAACGGTCTATTCTTACCAAGGCTACTCAACGACGGCGCTGAAAAGACATCTTGACACCAAACAGCAGAATGAAGTGAAGAAGCAGCAATCCCAAATGCCGGTGGTGATGATTTGAACCAGCTGAATAAAATCTAACTTAGAAAAAATATTCAAAAAACATATTTGCCACATCAATGAAACTCGTTAGCTCGCTCGATAGCTTGCTCGTTAGTGGAACCGATCGCTCGTTTGTTATAGATACGCTCATTTCAACAATACTGTATGACCACTGTGTTGCATCTACTGGTGCAGAAATGGCCATTAGAGCAGGGACAACAACTTTCTGCAGCATGTACTAGAAAGACTTGTGGCAGAATTGTTTCTAGCCGCGCAAAGATGTATGTGTTTTTCATGGTAGGCTCGGTGTGTACTCTCTATACGACAAGTCGTGCAAAAATGTATGTGTTTTTCATGGTAGGCTCGGTGTGTACTCCGTATACGACTAGTCAGTGTCTGCTCCAGAGCCGGGTGAGCCGGGTAATCGACCCGGTTGGACGGCGCTTGGACCCGGTTGAAAATATAGTACCGGGTCACCTGTGACCCGGTTGGTACTTTACACGCTCGAACTTTGAAGGGATTGACTACTTGGCTTGTATGTGTGACAGATCATGCAGAGGCGCGCATCGAAGTGAAAGTAGTCAGTATCCGGTGTGTGCAAGTGCTCAGTTTGAGCTTGATCGTTTGAGGTGTTGCTTTGAGCCTCCAGCGAAGAGGCGAATCCACAGACTTCGCATGTGACTCGGCTGGTGAGACAGCGCCAGGCACATGTGTACCCGGCTCCGACCCGGTTGAAATGGTTGCGCCAGGTACACGTGTACCCGGCTGTCCTACAATCCTAGAGCAGACACTGCTAGTATGTCTGTACCACACCACAGAGCATGTCAGAAGTAACTAGTTGCTGCTCGACCTCTAGCTCAGGTCCTGAATTCCTCGTTTTCGTTTCTGTCCTTTTGCTACCCTAAAATCGCTGGTATCTGTGTGCGTATCTGTGTGCGTGTATTTTGCTGTGTTCTATTCAGTAGTCTCTTCTACAAGTCATGATACCAGTGGTACGTTCTATTCTGTTTCTCCTTGCCTTGCACTTTCAGTGAGTGCATCAAGCACTGCAATGGGTTTTGAAAACACTTTATGACCACTGTGTTGCATCTACTGGTGCAGAAATGGCCATTAGAGCAGTGACAACAACTTTCTGCAGCAAGTACTAGAAAGACTTGTGGCAGAATTGTTTCTAGCCGCGCAAAGATGTATGTGTCTTTAATGGTAGGCTCGTTGTGTACTCTCTATACGACAAGTCGTGCAAAAATGTATGTGTCTTTAATGGTAGGCTCGTTGTGTACTCCGTATACAACTAGCCGTGCTAAGATGTATTTGTCTTTCATGGTAGTCTCGGTGTGTGCTCTGTGTACAACTAGCCGTGCTAAGATGTATGTGTCTTTCATGGTAGTCTCGGTGTGTGCTCTGTATGCAATTAGCCGTGCTAAGATGTATGTGTCTTTCTTGGCAGTCTCGGTGTGTGCTCCGTATACAACTAGTACGTCTGTACCACACCACAGAGCATGTCGGAAGTAACTAGTTGCTGCTCGACCTCTGGTACTGAATTCCTCGTTTTCGTTTATGTCCTTTTGTTACCCTAAAAATCGCTGGTATAATATATGTGCGTGTATTTTGCTGTGTTCTATTTAGAAGTCTCTCCTACAAGTCATGACACCAGTGGTACGTTCTTTTCTGTTTCTCCTTGCCTTGCACTTTCAGTGAGTGCATCAAGCACTGCAATGGGTTTTGAAAACACTTTATGACCACTGTGTTGCATCTACTGGTGCAGAAGTGACCATTAGAGCAGTGACAACAACTTTCTTCAGCATGTACTAGAAAGACTTGTGGCAGAATTGTTTCTAGCCGTGCAAAGATGTATGTGTCTTTCATGGTGGCTCGGTGTGCACGCTGTATACGTCTAGGCGAGCAAGAATGTATGTGTCTTTCATGGTAGGTTCGGTGTGTACTGTGTGTAGGCCCAGTATGCCTGTACCACACCACTCAGTGTGTCAGAAGTAACTAGTTGCTGCTCGACATCTCGTACTGAATGCCTCGTTTCTGTTTATGTCCTTTTGTGGCCCAAAATGTCACAACCTACGGTTCAACTACCACTTCATCGGCGCTTCTGCCCACGACGCCACGACTACTTCAAACAAACTCGCTACCTCCTACATCTTAAAATCAGCTATGTCAAGTGGAACACGATCCTTGCATCCGCCTTCCACTGCCGATGATTCTACAAAGCAGCGTGTATCAACTGCAGCTATCGTTGGCATTGCTAGTGTAGTAAGCATCGTGACAGTGGCATGTGCCATCCTTCTCACCTTCAAGATCAAGAAGGTTCACAGGTAGGATCTTACTATAAATTTCTAGTTTATACTGGTGTGGCGGCTTGTGTACTGTTTGCTCTTGGTCTCTACTGTAAATTACCACCAGAGCACCCCACCTTGATTTCACAGCCAGGGAAAAACACATAATCCTATGGCAGAGTGCAATAGATTGTGTGCGATGTGAGAGCCTTAGTGTACTAAAGTCACACTTAGGTTTTTGTGTGCAGCTCGTGTCCGCCAAAAGTTAACGTGTATACGGATTGACTGCACAACGTGAAATGTGTATACACGGTTCGTGTGGTATGACCTACAGGCAGGACACCACGTCCACAATACGACCAGAAAAGGACGCGCCGTACTCGCTGTACTTTACGCTACTTACGTGTATACGCTCATAGGATATGAAGCATGGCTAGTGGCTCTGGAAATTACCTACATCCGAAGTGCCACCAGCAGTTACATGTTGACCTGCCTTTCCAATGAGAAAACCCTGTACGGTGGAGAAATGCGCACAGAAACAATTTCGCCTGGTTGCATTGTGTGTGAGCGAACAAGGTAGAAATGGAGAATTGGAATGTTACCTACATTTTGGCAAAAATCTGTTTTGCATGAAGGTCACCTACAACAATCTATTTTTTTTCAGATTCCCAAGTTTCAGGCTGCTACTATCTATGAAGGAGTGTTTCAATTCTCTCCATTTTTCGGCACTAGCAATAGTCCAAGAAGATGGCTGCTACAAACGTTTGAACTTGCGCTTCCTGCCCAGACGACTGACTCACGACTGCCGTGTGAGCACATGAGAAGTACGTGAGGCGGTCCACTCGTGAAGCCTGCAAGAAAGCACCACTCTCTGCTCAACACACAGTGTTTCGGGGAATTCCCCTCTCGTCATCACTGACTCATCAGCTGAACTGGAGTAAGCTGAGTAGGTCCAACGTCTGGAGCAGCCACCTTCTTCTACAATAACTGCCCAAGTCTCAACATCTCACTTTGACAATAGTCCGATAGGATCAATTAAAACTCTGCAATTTTTGATCAACATCGATGCGTCCGTTTTTGTGTTCGGATTTGAGTACGATCCACCTCTGCATCGCATTTGCAATTGAAGGGCTCCGATTCAAAACGATGTAAATCGGTTTTATGGAAAGTTCAGGAACTGCAGTTTTTCCAGTTCCTGAACTTTCCACTGCAGCAGCACTGACCTTTATCGTGTTTTGCAGAAGAAAACAAACTTTAGGCATCATTTTAACTGGGATGTATCTCATTTTGACCCGTAAAACCGACACACACAGACGTCCGCGGGGTGATAATGAATTCTTCCATTACAAAAAAACGCAAAAGCTCCGGTTTGGTCTTTATAGCGTTTTGAATTGGAGCCCTTCAATTGTATTTATGGATTCTCCACAGGCCTTAGCCTAAATCGATTGAGTCTCCGTCATTGCACATACAAAAAGTATGTCCGAAAAATAGAAAAAGAAAAGAAAAAAAGTATTCTATATAAACGCAGTTGCATTGATTTTCCAATGGTGGGGTATGGCATAATTGTATGTCTGTGCATAACACATTGATTTTCCAATGGTGGGGTATGGCATAATTGTATGTCTGTGCATAACACATTGATTTTCCAATGGTGGGGTATGGCATAATTGTATGTCTGTGCATAACACATTGATTTTCCAATGGTGGGGTATGGCATAATTGTATGTCTGTGCATAACACATTGATTTTCCAATGGTGGGGCATGGCATAATTGTATGTCTGTGCATAACACATTGATTTTCCAATGGTGGGGCATGGCATAATTGTATGTCTGTGCATAACACATTGATTTTCCAATGGTGGGGTATGGCATAATTGTATGTCTGTGCATAACACATTGATTTTCCAATGGTGGGGTATGGCATAATTGTATGTCTGTGCATAACACATTGATTTTCCAATGGTGGGGTATGGCATAATTGTATGTCTGTGCATAACACATTGATTTTCCAATGGTGGGGTATGGCATAG